AAGAGCTGGAAACTTCAACTACAGCTTTGGCAACAGGGATGAAGAGAGCTGGACGATTGAACAGGCAAAGGAAGTAAAATGGGCCACATTGTGTTGGTGATTGGATGGAGACGCTAAAGGGACCAGCAAACCTGAAGATAAGTTCTGTGAGCCTTGTTGGTTGACTGGGTGCCCTATGGGTCAGCTGATAATTTTAAACAAAAGAAATCAAAGAGGGACCTAAAAATCATGAGTTTCAAGTGGGTAAGGGGTAGGGAGTTTGGTATTTCACATGTGACTCTCAAGGAGCTGTGACATATCTAGATGGTATTGTCTGATACAAGCATTCCATAGAAGGAAGGAAATAGCTTACTTCTCCTGTAGAGTGAAAGAGTAATTATAAAGGGAGTTCTTGGAGAGAGGCATAAGTAAGCAGAAAGCAGAATAATTATTGTAATAATAATTTAACATTCTTTGGAGTATACTTGAGGTGGAAAAATTTAACACATGCACTCATGATAAGATATCTTGGCTCAATTTGTTATTTCTTCCAAGAATGTTTATGCTTTACAAAAGACAGCAATAGCTAACTGAAGCATTAAGGAAAGAATTTCAGGCACCAAAATCCTAGAGGGGGGCCAGATTTTTTTTTTTTGGCAAGTAAGCCTTCCAGAACTCAAGTCCTAGCACATGTATGGCTGCTAACTCCATGTGTGGGGACGTGGGGGTAATTTGAGCAACTGAAAGTTGTCCTAAATTCTATACACATACTTGAACTGCACCCTTAAAATACTTTTATGTTTATTTCAAGACACTGGAGATCATTAGGACCTTGGAATTATGAGCATAGAAAATCAGTTACTACTGATCAATATTGAAAAAGGTCCCGGTTATTTCAGTCTACTTGTATGAATTTGATTTTTTAAAGATGCCATGCTTCAGCTCTGTGTCCCCCTCTTATTGCCTGAGTGTGATCATGCTTTCTTTTGAGTGCTCTATGTTCCTTAGTTGAGAGGAGGAACACACAGCCCCTCAGCCCCACATATACTCTCCTCTGCCAGTTTCTAACAAATGATTCCTGGATGAAAGTGTGTGGAAAATGATCTTGATTACCTAATGCACCCTTTAACCAAACAGTTCAAACTAGTACCTCATGAGCACATATTTTAGTTGAATTCAGCATGTGTTCTTTGAAACAAGGTGGGATGGAAGGGAGGGAGGATAGAAAACTGGAGACTCAAGGAGGCTCAAGGAATTTCCCAGACACAAACTTAGCATGAGAATCAGCAAAAGTGATCTACTATCCTGACATCTCACCAGTCTTCTAACGAGTAGGCAGTTCTGTCTCCTTCTGTTTAGAATGCCATCATTTGTAAAATAGCTGAGTCACCTGGGAGAAACGACCCTTCTCTTGTGATTAAGTAGCATGGGGATTGTTTCTACCAGGCAGAACTTCGCCCATCTCTCAGATTTCCTGACTTCAGTTTTTATTTAGAGAATCATGCTGCTAAGTGTTCTAACATCATCCATCTTTGTCAGCACCCAAAGCTACAACCTCATCCATATGACCCATGATATATGGCAGATAGAGTACACCAAAGACATTAAACTCTATATGACATTTATATGGACTCTGAGCTCTCCAGAGATGGATTGATGTTGCCATAAACCTTTGTGGTAGCCAGGCAAACAAAAGACTAAGGAGACTGGTGTAGGGAAAAGCAATGTCTTTCTCCCTTTACTTTCCCCCTCTGCAGAGGTTGACTTACGTCTCATTTAGGAAAGGAGGGAGTGAGGGAGTAAGGGAATTTATGGAATCCAGCACAGAGCAAACTCACCTTGATTATCAGTGGTGCTTCCTGTGGGATGAGCCAGGCCAAAAGCCAGCACAGCTAGTAGGACACTTACAGTATCCCACTTTGAATCCACTGCACTCTACCACTCACATAATTAGTGGAATAAAGAAAAGACTTCAGGAACACAGGTCCAAAAGTGGCAGTAGGTCAAGCAAGAGTGTAAGTGCATGTCTATCATGTTCCTCTGGCAGGTGTCTTTAACACTAAGATCATGGTGTTGTTTGTGGACATGCTCACCCAGGATGGACAGAGTGTGGGCAGGCCATACACTCTGCATGCCCAGCCTGCTAACATAGTAACATGCTGGGTTTGTACTCCGGATTATCAGCATGTTGAGGCCCATCTTTTACCTGAACCAACAGGTATTTTGTAGGTACTCAGGAACCCGACTGGAAAAATGATTGTGTACGACGGAAGAGTAATTCATTTTTCATAGCTAGTGCAATGCAATTATGCAAACCCTTAATGTGATCAAGCTTGCTGCAAAGAAATGGCCCAGTTAGCAGAAAGGGGGTGTCCCCACCCCCATCCTGGTCGCTCCCTGTGGATGTGTATGTGTTATTGCAGGACCGCTGTGTGTGTGCTTGGTTGCATTCCACATAGACCGCCTGCAGTTAACTTTGGAAGATGCAGATTTATTTTTAAATATCATTTACACCATAGCAACACAAACACATTTAAAAAATAATCAGTGACTAAGAAACCTGCACATTCACATGAAGAAAGACAACAATAAATTTGACTTACCAGCTTAGGTTGTTGGAGGCGGCAGAGGAACAAGTTGTTGGTAATTGTCCAGTGCTTTCATTCAATAAATCACACTGGCTTTGCTTTCTCCTGTGGCTCAGCTTCTGCGCAAAGCAAGCGAACCTCCTTCCTATTCTGTGTCAAGGATAAAATGCGAACAGGATCATTCCAGGCAAGAGCTGAAGTCCATGATCACTAAGCTACTTTTAATGCAACATAAAAGGACAAATGATGCTCAGGACGAGGAGGGGAGGAGGAGGCAGCTTGTCTCAGAAGCTAGGTGTATTCTCGGGACTGCAGCCCGAGAAAAGCTTGATCTCTCCAGCTTGTGTGCCTGTAGTGAAAGGATGCCATGACTTCAGTGTGATTAGCCTATTGTATCTGTGAGGACCACTCGGAGTGGCATGCGGGAACAAGCTTCCTGGCGTTCCGAATCAGAACCGACTGTCACTCAGAGGTATGCGGAGCGGCAGCGAGGCAGCCAGTTAGCCTTTACTGCATAAATGACAAGAGAAGATTTGTCATTTGGCAACCAAGATCCTCTCCAGCAGTATGTGACTGTAGCTCTTCTGGGACAGCCAGCTGACTGCTGGAGACCAGAAGCACACAGGTGGCGGCCACATGCCCTCACTCTAGAGCACCTGTGCAATCCTTTATATGCTCTTGGCAGGAGTGAGGGGGCACTAAGATAGCTCTAAATCCAGTCAGAGCTGCTCAGTCCTGGCTCAAGTGTTCATCTAAGCAGATATGAAAAAGTAGTTACTAGACATGGGACTTAGGACCGAGAAGTTCAGTCTTGGGAGGAACATTCTACGCTTCCTCTGTGATAGCCACAGATAGGTGTACCTGGCTCCTGTCACAATGTTATAGTTTATATGACTAATGAAACATACACAATGGATTTCCTAGAAAGCCACATATGTAGGCTTTTTTTATGTTTCTCTCTGAAATAAAATGTCCAAGGACCGTTGCATTCTGCTGATTATTTTAGGAAGGCTTTTCTGATAGTATGAATAACACAGACACACAGACACACACAGACACACACACAGACACACACACACACACACACACACACAGCCCTCCCAACAGCATTAAGAATCTTTCTAAAGGTCTATTTAGATCTCTGGCAAATTAATGCTTTGCTTCCTTGATGACTTCAGGAATCATTTTGGATCCTTTTGCTAGGCACTGATTCTGGTCTGTTATTTATGCCTGAAGCCAAATCAACTCCTAAATTTGAAATACAGCTCCGTGGTAAATCTGGAAGGTGTCTTGGTCATAAGCAAGAGGGTGGAGTGTTAATCTTTGTCTTGGTAATGACCTAGGATCCTGGGAATGGGCTTTTGTATTTCTGAGACACCATGCTCCCTGGCAGCTCAGTCACTTCAGCAGGCGGCTGTTCTGGAGCTGGGAGTTGAAGCAAGGCTTGGGGACTCAGAAAACTTGGATTTCCAAGGGAAGAGCTCTGTGCAGCTCTTCACAATTACCTTACCTTTTCTATTCTTTTCAAAAACAGAAAACCTTCTCTCTGAAATATTTATTCTCCCCTTCTTCCTTTGGACCTACTTGCTCAGGTAGCATTGCTATGAATAATCCAACTTGGAAATATGCATGTCCTTCAGATTCAGAAGGCTATTTTTTCATCAAGGATTAAAAAAGTACCAGACTATCCCTTTAGGTCTAAATGATTTCCAGTTAAAATATTTTACCCTGACAGCTAGAAAAATTAACTTTGATGAAGATTTACTTTATGTTCTATCTGCTGGGCTAAGACAGGTGACTCTGAGTACTTCTGCTAAGGTCAGGGTGTTGCTTATGGGGGTCAGGAGCTCAATGTCCTCTGCAAAACTAAGGAGACAATGCCTTTGCCACCACTGCACCACTTCTTGTTGCAAATACAGGTTGAGCATTCCTAATGTGAAAATCTGAACTGTGAGATACTTCAAAATCCAAAACTTTTGAATATTGCCATGACATCATGAATGGACTATTCCACAACACAGAACATTTCATGCACAAAAAGATTTAAAATAGTGTATAAATTACTTTCAGGTTATGTGTATAAAGTATACATGGAACATAAATGAATTTCTTTTAGACCTAGGTCCCTAGCCCCAAGATATCTCATTATGAATATGGAACAATTCCAAAATGTGAAATAGGAAATCCTTCCCATCCCAAGGTTTTTGGATAAAGAATATTCAATCTGTACTCAAGTGCAAGTCAAAATGTCCCAGTCCATTGAGAAGGAGAGTCATTAGTTCATTTTTCACTAACCTACTCTTCAAGCCATTTATATTATGTACTCAGCAGGTTAGAAACCCAGTGTCTATACTTTAATGTTTCCTAGAGCCTATCAATGAGACATAATGTCCTTGACATACCTTAGGAAAATTCTGTGTACTCTGATCCTGAGTTCTTCTCTATCCTAATTTCTCACCACCTTTCTATTTGCTGTAGTTTGCTTTTCAATATGTTTCAGCTCCTTGGACAGGCCAGACTCTCTCTTCACATCTGACCTTTGCATTTGGTGTTCTTCCGCCTGGATACTCAGTTTCCTTTGTCTGGCTAAATTCTACACAGCCTTGGAGTCTTGGTTTATAGATCACATCTCAGGGGTACTTGCTTAGGCCTTAGGGCTTTAGGTTACCTGTTCTATGATCTGAGAGTATGGCATCTGATATTTTCCCATCATTACATCCATCATATTTTATTGTGTTTATTTTGCTTCAGTCATCACATTGTAGTCTAAGAGTTTTTACTGCAAAGTCACTTATTCACTGGTGTTTCTATGTCTGACAGAGTTCCTGGCACCTTGAAGGCACTCAACACATATTTAGTGTTTTGTAGATGTGTGTAATGTATGTACATTAACTGAATGAATAATCCCCCTCAAGGTGTAGTGGAGGGTTTCATAACTGAATCTAATTTTTATTGTGAAGTGGCTATGCACTACAGGCTTATCTCCTTGAACTCTTCTTGATTAGCTTCAAGCCATACTGGTCATTCTTATTTTGCCCCCCTCTTGCAGTTTACAGAATGGTCTTCTATTTTGTTCTCCAGGTTGTTCCTGGATTTTGTGTCATCTCTACACACTGGTATTCTCTGTAACTCTTAGTGTATGACTGCAATCATCCGATGTTTGATTTGTTGAACAGCAAACATTTGAAGGAGGAGTTAAATGATCAGTTCTGTTTTAGGACAGTTTCTCTGGTTTGAGGGGAAGGATGACTTAGATCAGTCAGGTTTAAAGAGGACCTTAGTAACAGCCATAGCACAGACCTGAATCTAAAAGCAGTCTTGCTATTTCTTTCCCTCTCCTCTTCCTGTTACCCCTCCCTCGCAGTCATAACGCTGGTGTTCTCATTTAGGAACACTGAGAATGTTTGTTCCATACTCAGAACTTCCCCTCCACCCAATTCCACCCCCACAGTTATTCTACTTGCTTAGGTTATTTGTAATCGTGCCTTACTGATTAGCTCCTTTGAAGAAAGAGATTACATTAAAAAAAAAAAAGCAACTTCCTCCCCTAGCCCTTACACTTCCTGGCCTAGTGCCTTGCAGCTAGTAAGTGCTCAATGAATATTAAGAAATAAAAGCACTTATTATATGTAAAGCAATAGATGAAGCAATATGGGGGGAGGAGTACAAAGGGTGAAGCAGTTTTTCAAAGAGATCTACTTAGAGAGATGCCACTGATTACAATACAAGGTAGAATTAAATAAGTGCCATCTCTGAAAGTCTGAGCAGTGTGCTAAGGGAGCAGAAAAGAATTATTATTTCCTGCTGGAATACTAGGGATGATTCACAGAGACGGATGCATTTGAACTGGATGTGGGGGAATGAAGACTCCTGTAGGTTGAAGGGAAGACAGGGGAAAGAAACGAAGGCACAGAGCACCTGGACTATTTGGGGAAGGACCAGTAGTCCAGTGGACAGGACTGGAGTGAGCTGATCTACAGAAACTTGACTCAAAGCGTAGACAGGAGCTGGACCAGGAGGACTTGAGTGCTACATGAAAGAGTCTAGACTTTATGATATAGGCGGCAGGAATTTGAGGAGAATGGCAGTGCGGGTGAGTAAGATTCCTCTAGTCTAGCTATTGTGAGTAATGAACAGAAATAGCAAGAATCTGTAAGAAGAAAGAAAGGGCATGTGAAAATAAAAATTGGGATGAAAATGCAGTGTACTTTGGAGGTAGAATTTACAGGACTAGTGAAGGGTAGGAATTAGAGAGGAAGAGAGAGAGAGAGAGAGAGAGAGAGAAAGAAAGAGAGAGAGAGAGAGAGAGAGAGAGAGACTGAAAGTGATTTTTTTTTGAAGGTGATTTTTCAAGTTTTATCTATAGGTGTTGATAATGTTAATGATCCCAGGATATGCACATAAAAGTAGTTTGGGCATTCATGGTCTGTGCACTTTTTTAAGCTAGAGAAAAGAGCAGGCAGCAGAGCCCTTGGAGCTGCAAAGATGCACCTAGAGTGCTTTGTTTTTTTTTTTTTTTTGGTTTTTCTCCGGTAGCAGGAACCGAACTCACGACCCTGCGCTTGCCAGGCAGGCGCTTTGCCGCTGAGCTAAATCCCCAGCTAAATCCCCTAGATGCTTTGAAGAAGCCAGTAAAAGCTGTGATCAGCGGACTTCCTGGAGCAGCCTGCGGGGCCATTTGTGGAGGGTGATGGTACTGGTGCAATTTTCTCCTTTTCCGCCATTTTCCTCATATAGGGTTCTTTAGCTCCGTGGAAAGACCGTGGGTTTGTGGGATGGGGAGTTTGAGCTCGGGTCTCCCAGATGCTCCTTCCTTGCCATGAGACCTTGGCTGGGCACATTACTTTTTATCATCAGGCCTCTGTTCTTCCACTTGTAAATCGAGAGAGCTGGCCAAGCTAAATCCAGAGATACCTTTTTAACATACTGTTCTTTGATTTGTAACATGCAGTGCTTAGAGTTTCAGAATACTTGTGAAATGGGGCCAGAGTCTACCGATATCTGTCGCCAGTCATGCCTAATCTCACCCCCAAATCCTGCCCGTATTTTCAGAATGTCGGCGGATCACTGCAAATGCACGTGTGCCCTGCAGTTAGTTACATGCGGTTTGTTTGTAAGGCATAAATTTAAATTGATCACTTTTTGATGGC